ATATATCCAACTGTCAGACGTCATTCGACCACATGTTATGGCTACAAATCGGGCTCCGTGAAGCTAAGAAAAAGATTAAAAAGATTCGGACCTATAACTTACTGATGAAGAATTACTACCGTTTTAATGAAGTTTCTATTGAGACCAAACCATTTTTGAAAAATTCAAAACAAAGTATGTCGAGTTGAAATTTTGTTTACAGGTACGTTTGATAATCTCTGGCATCCCATCGACAGTCTGTAGAAAAAGAGAAAAAAAGAGGAGTTTCAATAAAAATGAGAAAAAAACGAGGAGCATTTTTTGCTTCTGAAATGAGAACAAAGGGTACCGCGGGGTTCGAAAGTCAATAAATTTGAGCACCGTTAATCTGAATTTAATACAGACTCGAAAAACTCGAAAGATAAAAGCGATATTCAGTTCTTGACATTTGAGGTGGTGTATTTTCTACCGAACTCGGAAAAAGAGAACTACAAAAACCAGACAAAAATGACAGGGTCTACTGCAAAACTACTTGACTGTGATATCGCTTTACCCGAGTACTCGCAGACAAAGAAAAAGAAAATCACTGTATATTCAGAATGTGTTCAGTCTATAGAAGCACGAGAGCATAAAGAGGATGTGAGTACGAAGTATAGTTGTGAGTGTGGGATGTGGGTTTAGGTCTTCTTTTCAGCCACACCCATACCACAGCCTTATCTCTAGACAGAAGCGAACTTTCTCATCCTTCTCTACATTTTCCATAATATATTCACACAGTGATACTGTTTTGAAGACCGGTTGATAGCATGAAAAAGTTGAGCACATAGCAGGACAAAAGACCCTTTTGCACAACGATCTGTTCATTCCGGTTTTTTTTACAAAGCATACCCAATGCATTTGGTATATGAAATATGTTGTCACATATGATACACACGTTATTCATGCGAACAAAATTAATTTTAATAAATCTTGCCACATGTTATCCAGAAGAAATGAAATGAAAAAAAAGACACTTGAAACCCATATGTTGAACAAATCAATAGCAAATTAAGCGCACAATTTCCGAAATCAATAATATGCTATCAATCTGACTTCATATAATCCGCTTTATGATTTCTCTGGAAAACGTTGATTAAAAAGTAGAAGGTCATTTCTGAGAGAAATCCAACATACGGCTAGGATTGGTGTGAGTATGTGGCTGCGGATGCCTGTGCGCAACAAGCCAAGACACTCACACCACCCCACACATACATCCACATCTGGAAATTGAGGGTGTGGATGTGGATTTACGCGTTGGTCTCTTCCTAACCCACACTTACACCCACACCCACACCAACAACACACAAAGATACTAGTCTCGCAAACAAACGAGATCACTATTAGCTAATGTTAATAGTTTATTAACGATTTTATTTGTATGAAACAATTAAACTCCAAGACACAGTTAATTTCAAATTGTTTAAAAAATTTTTTTTTTATTGATTTTCCCACGATTGGTATACAATGGCGGACATCATCAAAGACATATAATTGTCTTCCTTTTAGTGCACTTTGTTCAGATTGAATAAACAACGATTTGAATATTCTGTTTCCAAAAATATATATCGAATTTCTCGTCTATTCAAATCTATATTGTTTAAATGTAACAATTTTACATCAATTTCAACTTAACATATCGACCAATATGTAAGCAAGCATGTTTTACTATAATCAACTTATCGGTTGTATCAAATCATGTTGTATCTTCACTATATTGTAAATAAGGAATAAAACGTATTTACAATATATGTTAAAGATGGCCATCGAATCGATTAAAATGAAAAATTTCTATTGTTCGAAGAGATGGACGAAAATCTAAGGTAAAAACATTAAAAACCTTTATTTCAAAACTACATTGTTTTTAATATAAAATTTCTGATAATCTTTAATATTCATTTACTTTCGCTTGCATGACAACAATCGCTATGTATTTGAATCAAACAGTAGATCATTTTTACCAATATATTTCGAATTTCCACTTCATCCATTGAGTGAAAATGATAATATCTCGATTAATCTGTAAAGTTGTTTTCTTCCAATTCATAGAACATTTGAACAAACTATTTCTTAATAAATACTGATGTAATAAAACTGATGATGAATGCAGCATAATAACGTCAAACTTTATATTTCATCAATCAAATGAAAATTAATAAATATAATCTTTAATATTATTGTATGATTCTAAGGTATTTCATTGAATGACGTATTGAAAAGAATATTAAGAAAAATTATTTCTTGCAGAATAACTGTATTGAGATTATTATTTTTGAAGTATACAATAGAAAGATTTTAAATTAGTTTTAAACTATCGCTTTCTTACTACTGTTATTCGAAAAAAAAACATATTTCTACAATATGTTGAATGAAGATCATGAAGCAAGAAATACATAATACTGTTGTTGTACGTTGATGATCTAAAATCATATATTATATAAACCGACATTATTGAATAAGTTCTCGGTTTACATATTGATATATGTAAGAAAAATGATAGTTGAAATTCAATACTAATAACAGACCATAGGAGGGAATTCATTTGTAAATAATCGCTTATTATCTTAAGCCTACAATGTCACGAATAGATTTTCACCCATAATTATGAATTCATCATCATTGTCTAGAGGAGAATTTTTGTAACATTTCATACCTTTGTACTAAGTCGAAAGGAAAATTTCAGTTAAAATGAAGCATTACAATACTGTTATAGAAGGTCTATACTGCTAGAAATGATGAAATACTTATCTAGTTTCTGTTCGTATTTGATCTCAAGGTAAGATTTCAAGTTGCTTCATCAATCAAATATAAGATGTAATAAGTCTCATAACTGATGCAAAATCAAGACTATAAATATTAATAACTTTTCAGTTTTTTTATTAGAAATAACATGCATTATTCAATGTCAGTGTCAGCAATACACAACTTTATTCATCAATATTATAAATAACCTTTGATTTTTTCAGTTTACACTGTATTTATCAGGCAGTAATGTTTTATGTGAGATTACCATTGAGTTGTTTTCTTTTACATCTGGTTCTTGCAAACTTGCAAATCAATCTGCATTACACAGATTGGGTAAGTGACAATAATCATGTATTGCAACATGATTGTTTGCGTGTACATGCTGCACTTGATAAATGGCATATTAGGCGTGAATTGACAACTTATTGTATGGATGGTCTACCATCGAAATTTCATATGGAAAATAATCATATTTTTCCCAAGTTTACTTTTGCGGAACTTGCGAAAGAGAATATTACTAGTTATGAATTATATCTTTGGTCAGCACCAATTGACGTGGCAGAGCGTTATCAACTCTATCTAAATCAAATGTCAATATCAAATAATCAATCTTTGGAAAGAGAAATTTTCTATAATTGTACATTGCCAAGATTTGGTTCGTTATGTCAATATGAAATTAACTATGTTCATAAAAACTATTCATCTCTATATGATATGATTAATGATTACTATGAAGAGCGAAACTTCAGTCCTGATGTAAATTGTTATACTCATTTACAATGTAATCGTGGTCCATCACCAGCTTGTTTGCATTGGACAGAGATTTGTGATGGTCAAGTTGATTGCATCGATGATAAAGTGGATGAAAAAGATTGTTGGAAAATTGAAATTCATGTATGTCAAGATGATGAATTTCAATGTTCGAATGGACAATGTATACCTATGGCTTTTTATCGTGATGATGATACTACTACTGATGATTGTGCTGACTTGACAGATGAACGTTCGCCACAACTAATAGGAACGTTGCACTTCATTTATAAACAACCGTCATTTATAAATGAAGAGAATCAATTTCTTCCACTACCCATCGGAAATTTTAATTTCGATATGCGTCGGAGCCATTTATTTCAAGCTTTATTTTTGGCTAAAGATAACTCTACATCCGAAGATTGTTGGTCAGCCCTTAGATCTACAATCCAACAATCAATATATGAAAAGCCACTTTTTAATAAGACATGCGCGGAACAAGAGTGTTTTGAAATCATTGAGAAAGAATGTCCAGATGTTTTTTATTTCCCTACGGTTCCAGTCTTCTCTAATAACATTCGACTGGCATTCAACAAAATCGATCTATCAATTCCCAAGCTTTCATACTATGGAGCAGCTTTCATATGTTACAATAGTTCTGATTATGAGTACTATGTTCCTCCTGGTGAAAATTTTTTATTCAATAACGCAACCTGTTTCCGTCCTGGCTTCATAAGGATTCCTGATATGATGAAATACACACTGGAAGAACAATATCTGTCTCCTTTGTATCAATTCATAGATGAAATGAAACCATACTTTCTAATTTATAACTATACTTCTGAAATATGTAATAGATCTAACATATCATTGTATCAACTCTTCAAAATGTATCTCAATGAATCGTCTGATGGATACTGAAGTGGACTGTCCAAAAGGAGATGACGAAAATCTAACGCATATTATGGATGCTGGCTGGACAGATGTTTTAAAAAAACTTTATAATTGCGAGACGATTAACAAATATATTCATCAATCGTTTGTTAAAAATAAAATCTGTGATTGTGAAGACACGGATTACGGTTTCTGTGAAGACGAAGATGAAAATATTGCTTTAGCTAGAACGAAGCTTTTATTTCAACACGTTTGTGATGGATTAACTCAACTGATTCCAATAAATAATGACAAACAAAATGAAACAGATGAAACAGAATGTGAACAATGGTCATGTAATAACATTTATACTCATTGTGATGGCATTTGGGATTGTCCGAAGGGTGAGGATGAAATCGGTTGTTATTCGTTTACAACATTGAATTGTTCATCAAATCAACATTTATGTGTGTTGCCTGATACAAATCAATTTACATGTATACCACTTGAAAAAATAAATGATAACAACATCGATTGTCTTGGCGCTACTGATGAACGAACACTGTGCCGAGATGACGACTATAAATACGAAAAAGAAATTTTCTTATGTAAAAACTCAAGTTCGCAAAGATGCATAAAACTTGCTGATTTATGCAACGGTAAATTCGACTGTGAATATGGTGATGATGAACAATTTTGTATGAAAAGTTACATCCATGGACTGTCCTCCTCATATGGCAAAGTTTCTTATTCTGACGTTGAGCAGTTTTTCCGTAAAGAATTAGAAGAAAAAAGCAAATCATTTATTAAACACTTTTCATTAGATGGATTGATCGAACTCAATACGGATAATCAAACAACTAGTATTAGACCATCACGAATTATTCTGCATCCACAGCAATATGAACTTATGATGGACAGAAAGAATCCATGTTACCGAGGTATTCAATTACGCGTTTGGCTCAATGAGCAAAATAATTCAACAACAAATACATGTCTTTGTCCGCCTAGTTATTATGGTGATCATTGTCAAAATCAAAATCAACGTGTCAGTTTAACTATGGCATTTCGAGTAATGTCTGATTCTCGATCAACATTATTTGCAATTATAATCTCACTGATCGATGATAGTGAACAAAGAATTATTCATTCATACGAACAATTGAGTTATTTATCGGTTAGAGATTGTAAAGCTAAATTTAATGTCTATTTAGTGTATTCAAATCGACCAAAATCTCAAACAAGAAATTATTCAATACATGTTGACATTTATGAAAAAATTTTGCTAAATTATCGAGCAAGTTTCTTATATCCAATCGAATTTCCATTTTTACCAGTTCATCGTCTAGCATTTATTGTTACTATTCCAAGTTTAAAAGACTTTATTGAAAGTTGTTCAAATTCAAAATGCATTCATGGCAAATGTGTTATGTATTCGAATAGTCGAGATCATTCTACATATTGTCAATGTAATGCAGGATGGTCTGGCCAATATTGTACTATTCCATATAATTGCAACTGTTCATCTGACTCAAAATGCATCGGCTTATCTTCTCACAATCGATCTATATGCGTCTGCCCAATGAATAGATTTGGCTATCGATGTCTTCTTACTAATCCTATCTGCCAAAGAAATAATCATTCGATGTGTTTGAATGGTGGTACATGTATCCCTGCTGATGAATATGCATTGCCACATAAAAAATTTTACTGTATTTGTCCAATAGGTTATATTGGTGAACGATGTGAAATTGCCGAAAAGAAAATTCATATTTTATTTGAAAAGAATATTATTATATCTCAAGTAATATTTATTCATTTCTTAGAAATTATTAAAGAGATGAACCCAAGAAGATCAACTATTTTAAAAACGGTGCCTATTCAACAAGATTCCTTAACAATTTATTGGCCTTTGCCATTTCATCTGATTTTTATTGAATTTAAAAATAAAAATTATTATTTAGCTGCTATTGAACGAACATACAAACAATCGGCGACATATTCCACAACGGTAAAATCATCTGATCATTGTCCAAATATTAATCAATTATTTAATAAAACATTTGTTCAAATGCATATTATTCGTCGTATTAAATATTATCATCTACCATGTCAACAACATTCATTAAATCTTTCTTGCTTTTATGATGATTTTTATCTTTGTTTCTGTTATAATTTTAAAAACCAACGTCTAGCAAACTGTTTTGAATTTAATTATAATATGACATTTGATTGTTTTAGCGAAAGTGTTTGTGAAAATGGAGGGCAATGTTTTCAAGACAGTCCTATTTGTCCACAACGATCAAGTTGCATTTGTCAACCATGTTTTTATGGAATAAGATGTCAATTTAGTTCAGATAAATTTGGTTTCTCACTTGATGGAATTTTAGGTTATTATATTCAACCAAATATTGATGTTGTACATCAATCATCTATGGTCAAAATTAGTTTGGCATTAACTATTGTTTTTATAATAATTGGTTATATTAATGGAATATTATCTTTCATTGCATTCAATAATAAAACAATATGTGAAGTTGGCTGTGGTCTTTATTTATTGACTTCATCAATAACAACTTTACTCACAACTACAATGTTCGGACTAAAATTTTGGATACTTCTTCTTGCACAAATGAAAATTATTACAAATCGTTTATTTTTGCATATTCAATGTTTGTCTATTGATTTTCTCTTACGAGTTTTTCTCAATATGGATCAATGGTTAAATGCTTGTATTGCTGTTGAACGAACAGTTGTAATCATAAACGCGATTGGCTTTAAAAAAAAGAGAAGTAAAAAAATAGCTAAACTAGTTATCATTATTCTTTCAATCTTCATTATTTCGACTTGTATTTATGATCCATTTTATCGACGTTTAATGGATGATGCAATCGATGATGATAGCAGAATTTGGTGTGTTACTTTTTATTCATCTAATTTACAAATGTTCAATACGTTTATACATGCATTTCACTTCTGTGCTCCGTTTGCTATTAATCTTGTCTCGACTGTGATTCTCATCTTAAAAACATCTCGTCAACAAGCAAAGTTTCGAAATAATACAAAATACATAGTGATTTTTATAGAACAAATTCAAGTACATAAGCATATATTGGTTGCTCCGTTTGTAATAGTTATACTTGGAATACCACGTTTAGTCATTACATTTGCATCAAAATGTATGAATTCAAATAATGATGCAACATTATATCTTATTGGATATTTTGTTTCATTCATTCCACCTATGCTTACATTCATTATCTTTGTAATGCCATCGAAGTTTTATAAAGAACAACTTGGTAAAGTTTGGGCTAATATCAAAATTAAAATAAACCGAAATTTTACTTCTCTTTAATGAAGGTAATTAACATAATGTTTTTAGAATTGTTGATGAATTTGATGTCGATGAACTTAGAGTCAGATTCGTCTAGGAACATGCTTCAAGTGAAGATGTCACTGCAGAAGAACGACACTCTATACTGATCAATATAATTTCAAGGGTACATCAAAGAGTGAGGATGCTGCGGTGTTGTTCATCAGGAGTTGTACCCAAAAACTTGATTTTTCGAACTTTTTCATTAAAAAATTATTTTTCTATTTCAATCTTTGTATTATTATTTCGTCTTAAATGAATGTAACTCTTACTGAATTGCTACTTCTCACAAACAGCTATGTTTCGCTCGCGACAAAAATGTAATATTGAAATTGCAACAAAATAAATAATTTTCTTATCATATGGTTTTAAAAAATTAATTTTTGTATGTAATTCTCGATTACTGTGGTATACAGGCATTAGCTCAAGTAAATATCAGACGGGTAAGATATCTAATTAATTCTTTAGCAAGAGTTATCATTACTTGAATCCTCCAAAAATATTTAGAATCATGGTGTGTGAGTGTGGGTGTAGACAAATAACGTATCGATACTTATTTTCACACTTCAAAATGTTATTCATTTGATGACGATAGGTATATCAGGTTTTACATTTTAGTTCCACAAGGAATTGCACTAAAAGATTTTTCTTGAACGCTTTTCTATTGATAAGACAGCATAGGAAATTGAAAAAGAAGGAGAAACAGGAAATTGTCACAAACTTTTAAGATTTCATTTCTATTCTAATATTTAGTCCTTATGAAGTACAACAGATATAAAGTTTCTTTTTTTAGGATCACTGAAGCAACTATAACATGATAAACCCATGGCAATGAAATAAACTACAAGAACATATAACTATCTAAATATTGCTTTTTTTTTATGTGTTGTAAAATTGTTGCTTAGCTTATTTTGAGTTGGAAGACTTAAAGTGATAAAAATTTCTTAGAATGTAATCTGCTTTTATTTGTCAGTAATTAATAAATAAATGTAATCTTAAAGAACTTAAATAAACAAACAACTGTTTTTATCCGATTGTACTTATCACAATGAACTCAAGTGAATTACATGTTCACAGAAGAATCTTCTACTCCAGTACATTCGATTAAAGAGTGGAACGACATCATACGTCGTACTCAAGTCTTATTGACAACACGAAAGTAAGTATGAGTAGGTTAGGATGTGATTCAACCGATTAGCAGAAATCACACGAACAACACGGTCTATATCCTTAATACATAATTCTGCTTTGGTGTTAAGTCTTGTCTTCTATATTTTCGATCTAAGATATTTATTTGTGCCTTCCTCGATGGCAACACCAATTTTTGACTACATGAATGAATATATGATTAGTCGATAAAATCCAACTGAATTCCGAAAGAAGCAAGCAAAAAACGGATCCGACAATTAGATTCGGACACATATACGATGATATTCCAAATCGAAGTTAATATCTATACCAATAGTTGTGTTCCAATTAAGTTTTCATAGAGTTCTGTTCTATGATCGACAGAAAACACTAGTAAAATAATTTCATCCATCATTTTTGATTCATCATTTAATTGTTTTAAGTCTTTTATTTTCTATAAACTTGAAATAGCTTAAAGATCTTGGTGATACCTATTGATTAATTTTCAACTTATCAAATTAAAATATATGGAATTTGCAGCAATGGAATCTAATGATACTGATATAACTATTTCATTACTAATTACTACTAATGAACAAATAAGTTCTATCGAACATCTTATTAAGAATTACCTTTGCGCTTTTGACGAACTTTTTGCTACAACATATTTTTCTCAATAAAAATTCTTTAGAAGAATGTACTGTTTTTCTGAAATGAAGTTAATTATGTTAATCTGATCTCTCATGAATATCAATGTATTGAATGACGAGGTCTAACATGGATAACAGTTTGGTTTCTGCTTTGTAAGCAATAGAGAAGAACTTAATCAAAGAAATTTGATACTGAAGGTCAACAAAACGTGCAGAAAGTCATATTCAATAAAATCAATAAAGTACTTTGTCAAAGCATTCTGTCAGGTGAAAATCAGTGTACTCATACAATTTTTCTTTAGCGGTCTAATAGTTTCAATAAGCAAAAGAGGAAAGCAGCTTACAAGAATTATTATTAGTACCTAGCAAAAGTTTACAAGTAATGGATAAAAGAAGAAAATCAAGCAACGAGTAAAATAGTTAAGGAATCTGGAAGAAAATTTCTAAACTACGAATACCTTCACATGTAACCGAAAACTCTAGTTTTCCATGATTGGTGAAACCAGCTACGGAAACTGAGAATGGATTAGATCTGTAACCAATGTACAGTTCGGTGCAAGGGGGAAACAGCTGATTCCAAGATAATGGGATTCCAAGGATTCCAAGGGGTTCCATGGGATCCCAGGGGTTCTGCTGCTCGGAATCAATTATTTCCTCCTCGGGTTTTTTCCATTATTGTAAGGACGGCAGATGGTATTGTCCGTGTCGATTATAAGTTTTCAAGCATCCTCTTTAATTCAACCCGAACAGCCCAATATTGTCTTCTAACAATAGGAAAGAATTAGATATGGGAAAGGGACGGGAATGAATAGGTATTTTGAGTAATCTTTTTCTCCACTATTGTAAGGGTGAAACATAATGTTGTCTGTGTCAATTATAGGTTTTCAAGGGTCCTTGTTAATTCGCCCCAAACAACCCAATATAATTTTCTAACAATGAGGGAGAATGAGA